AAATTTATGTTTCAGCTCAACTTCTTCCCTACCTGCAACCTCATAGATACTCCAGGTATTTCACATGAACATTGAATCATAAACTGATATTTCCAACAGCAAACGTGAATTTCTTCACAAATATGCTTCTAACCCATCGTTCTCAGTCAACTGCACCATCACTTACCTTGTGGTTTAGATTTCTTAAAAATACAGTCATTCCTTGATCTCTTTCTTCCATATCACATTTCAATCCATCAGCAGATCAGATCTTGTCAACTATACCTTAACAATGTATCCTTAATTAGATTCTGACTCCAACTGCTTCTCAGCACCAGCTCTTCTTAGCCCAAGCTCCATCATGTCCTTTGGGATTCCTGATACACCTTACAATGGATTCTTTGTTTCCATTCTTATCTTTTTTCTTGACCTCCTCTCTCTACTCAGTAGCAAGGGAGATCCTTTTTAAAAAGAAATGGTATGGCATTTCCTTGCTCCAATCTATCCATCATCTTCCCATGATAGAATCAAATCCCAAGATCTTGCCAAGCTCTGACTCTTTCTACTTCTCCAATTTCATTTATTATCACACTTCTCTTGTCCATTCTGCTTTATTCATAAAAGGCAGTGTGTGCTCAATTTTGTCCGACACTTTGAGACTCCCTAGACTTCAGTCCACCAGGCTCCTCTGTCCATGGAGTTTTCCTGGTGAGAATACTGGAGTGGGCTGCCACTTCCTCCTCCTAGAGATCTTCGTGATCCAGGGATCAAAGCCACATCTCCCCAGTCTCCTGAATTGGCCAGGCAGATTCTTCACCACTGAGTCACCGGGGAAGCCCTTTATTCACAAGACTGTCGTTCTTTATATACACAAAAGCTCTTACTCCAAGGCCTCTGAACTTGCTTGTCCCTCAGATATTAATATGACTCATTCCCTCACTTTATTCAGGTCTTTGCTTAAATATCACCTTTTCTGAGAACCTTGCCCTGATCACCTCATCCAAATGATACTCCTTATCGCACCTTATCCTTTTAACTACTCTGTCTGTTTTCTTAATGCTATCCAGGACCTTGAGCTTCCCTCCTAGCTCAGCTGGTAAAGAATCCACCTGCAATGCCGGAGACCCCAGTTCAATTCCTGGGTTAGAAAGATCCGCTGGAGAAGGGACAGGCTGCCCACTCCAGTATTCCTGGGCTTCCCTTGTGGCTCAGCCAGTAAAGAATCTGTCCACAATGTGGGAGACCTGGGTTCGATCCCTGGACTGGGAAGATCCCCTGGAGAAGGGAAAGGCTACCCACTCCAGTATTCTGGACTGGAGAATTCCATGGACTGTATAGTTCATGGGGTTGCAAAGAGTCAGACACGACTGAATGACTTTCATTTTCACTTTTGCAGTGTGCATAGAGCAGTCATGGGAAGACTGAAGTAGTACTTAATCAATATCTGTGGCAGTGAGTGAATGTTCAGAATTCAATGTCAAGTTCCTGGTTCACATATTCAGTGATGTTCTGAGTTGGAGTTTCTAACAGAAAATAACAAATGACTAAAATCTACCTTAACTTATTTTAGGGCTCCAACAACCCCCACAGACTGAACAAATTTCAAAGGTTTGGCTTCCTATGAGAGCATCACTGCAGAGAGACTCCAGTATCTGCTGTGATGTTATTTACTCATTTGGATATTTTGAAATATGAGCCTCAACCTCAGCATTCAGGCCCAATAGCTCTAGGAAGAAACATGTATCAAAATGAATTTTATATTATGTAGCAAAAAGCATCCATGCTATTTTTGTTGTTGTTTTTTAGCCTCTGAACTTCTTATCTATTTTCCCCCAGGATACAAATATTATAAGTCATTGGCAAGGTGTCAAAATGCCATCACATTTCTCCCTTTTTCTGGAGACTGAAATTTGTTTGTTGTTGTTGTTTAGTTGCTAAGTCCTGTCCAACTTTTTGACACCCCATGGACTGTGCCAAGGCTCCTCTGTCCATGGGATTTCCCAGGCAAGAATGCTGGAGTGGGTTGACATTTCCTTCTCCAGGAGATCTTCCCAACCCGGGGATCCAACCCACATCTCCTGCATTGGTAGGCAGAATTCTTTACAGCTGAGTCACCAGGGAAGTCCTTCATTAATTGTACTTGTGTACAATTAGACAAAATGATAACATCAAAAGAAGCAGATTCAGTGTTTCATTGCTTTAAGAGAATAATAAAAATGGAATCATTCAAATCATGCCACTAATTTGAACACATTATTATTTTAAAAGAAAGTAATAGATGAGTTAAAGATTTTTTGTTTTAACCACTTATTTTTAAACTGTTAAGCTTTATTTACTCTGAAGTTGTGAAGATAAGAGCTATGTTGTATTTATCTCCTACCAAGGACACACAGAGAGATGTTCAACAAATGGCTTTGGACTGAATGAATGTGCCACATGAGAATGTAACTCAGAATTTAAATTAGAAATTTAGAGCAATTTTCTGAGAGCTTGATTTGCACCAAATCCAAGTTTGCAGAGTATTAACATTAAAAAAGAAGCAATTGCTTTTTGAAAGTCTTCCTTTTATAAAGGAAGCACTTTAATATCAATAGTTTCCTTAGTCCATGTAAAATATTATTGGTTTATAAAAATTGATTTTGTGTATAGTGGTTCATAAATAATCCTTTGACAAATGCAAATATAAAAGTGTTCATGAAAAGTAAATTGTGAGAGATACACTTTAATAGGAAGAATGTGGAGAGTTTTTAAGATGAATAACATTTTATATCTACTTTTGAGTTGCAGACAATGTGGATCATTGGGCAAAAAGAAGGAATATAGACGAGGATCCAGGGAAGGACAGAACTGGAAGTTCAGTGTCAAGGAAGTGAACCATGGAGTAAAATTTGAATCTTCTAAATTGCATTTCAGACTTATTTTACATTGGGTTTTATACTATGATAAACAGATCTTTAATATGTGACAAGAGAGGATGGGAAATTCCAAAGTGGGGTTTGATTCTTGTGTATGTACCATCACGCTTCATGTGCTTAGGAACTGTACATGTCTACAGTTTGTTTCAGTAACAAAAGAGAAGACAGTGATCTAAAAGGATGAGCAGATTGAATTCAGTCTGGACCTGCAGAGATGACATGCCATGTTCAGTGGTCACTGACGTGAACTGATCTGAGACAATAGCATTTTCAGTGTGTTTTACTACTTGCAAATGTCTTCCAGGCCTGCCTTTCAAAATTCGGGGATGAAAGACATGCAACAAATCACTTTTTGATAAATCCCTAAGGTCGAAAACCTCTACCTTGAGTATAACCGAGTGCAACTGCTGAGCAGACAGAATCCTCCTTCTAGGGTGGTTGCTGCACAAGCAAGAAAGGTAATTTTCAAGATATCCTTATTCTCACTGTAAATGTGGGCAAAACGACCCACAGATTTGGTAACTTTTCATGGCACCTGGTATGCACCAATAACTCCTTTTGATCCTTTCCATAAGCAGTCTTATGGAATGTGATTCCCCTTCTGAATATTGTATTTTCAGGTACCTATACTCGGCCACTTTTAAACTTATTTTATTAACAGAGTAAAGATCTCTGATTTAAAATAGAAGCTATGCCAGAGATAACAAATGGCTTTTGGTTTCTATTCTTCTCCTATATCAAAGGTTAAATTGTGTTAACTCAAAAGAATAAGTAAGTTTATCTTCCAGATTTTCTTTGTAATAGTTAGCTGGTTAAATAAAACATTGTATTTACAGAAATAGAAGGCCATTCCTCAACTTTTTCAGATGTTTCCAGCTTAACATGGGTTTGGTGACCTTATCAAGACATAAAATCATAAATTCACCAAGGAGTAAGGTTGACTACTGTGTAAACACACACATACACACACAAAACAACTTTGACCTCTCTCTTGAGTAATAACTAAACTGATCAGGACTTCTGATAAGTTAACCTGATATTTAACCCTGTTTTACTCACCTAATGCCCTCAGAAAATTATTTTTTCCCTCTTCACCAATTTTATACCTTAAAGGAAACTTAGATGAGTTGTAGATGTACAACCAACATCTCCAGACAGAAATGAAGGCTATTTTTAGAAGAAACTAATCTCAAATGAAAGTAGAGCTTTCTACATGGTCACACATGTATTACACACTCATTACCCAAAGTGAGAAAGTAGGTCACTCCTCATTTCTTATTTATTCCCTGGCACAATCAGACTGCACAATGAAATCATGTGATATGCATCAGAGCTACTGTCAGGACATAAAACCCAAGACAATGAGCAGCACAACAGTTAGCAACAGGCAAACTCCAACAAAGTCTGGGTTTGGATTTGGTTTTATGTTACTAGAAGCAGATTTGCTCTGTTTTTTAATAGTTCATAAGAAACAGAAATCACAATATTATTGACTTCATATCCACCTACAAAGAGTTCAAAAAAGCCAAAGCTCTCCCCCCATTCACCCTCTTGTTCCACCAACATTTTGAAAATAAAAAAGGAAAAAAAAACACAAAATGAAAAAGAGTGAGAAAGGACACAAATGATTTCAATAATTTCAATCCTTATTAAACATCACTGAAGTGCATTTGATCTATCAGGCTGACTTTCAGTTCTCACCACTAAGACCTTGCAAAGAAACTGGATGTGCGTTAGTTTTGCTTTCCAGGGTTGATCTAGAACTGTAAACATGAGATGTGTATGAATGTGTTTTAAGTCCATTTCATAAACAGGGACACAGGACAATTCTCATCATTTGTAATAGTCTTTGGAGTCCAATCATGCAGAGTTAACAGGCAGGTGTAAGTTAGGTCTTGTTGCAAGATATACATGGCAAGGTGAACATTTCAGTGCTAACTAGGGGTGGGAGATTTCTGTCCATTAGGATATACTGGCCATTGGTCCCACATAATCAAAAGTTAGATGTATAGGAGTTCATATACAGAGATCTTCCATTTCAGCTTGCTGACCAAGGAAATGAGTCAAAGTGAGCCATTTCAGACAGCAAAAGAACTGTCCAAGTGCTAAAAGAGATAAAATCTTATATTTTAATCACATGGAAAATAATTAGTGTAACTATGTACATTATAAGTTGATTGTTGTTCTTAGAGAAAGGAGTTTCCATTCTGGGTTCAATAATCTCTGTGGAAAATACGCATGTTGGGTATTGTGAGCAGGGTAGAGGGTGGAGATTTCTCTTCAGACCCAAAGTGGTTAGAATCAAAGATTACTCAGGCTATTTAATCCCTTTCTCTGAGCTATACAAGATAAATTCTCTTCAGCTAACCTGGTTGATAGCATTCAACACAGAGCATAATGCTTCTAAGATTTAGATTATCATATGTTGAGAATTACATAGAAGTAGATCTGGAATAATTTAGATTTTGCAATGACTGTTTACAATTTTAAAGTCTGTTTTGCTTATTCTGCATCCCTCCTCCCTGGCAAGTCATAAAAGGATTTATCTAATCTCACCTATTCTACTTATTCTATTTGTCAAGGCCTATTTTCTGATTTACCAGTCAGCTGCTATCAGTATCCTTAGGTAATATTTTTCTGATAATGATAACAGATTGAGAAAAAAACTATCCAGCTCCCTGGCCTTCAATTAAACAATTTACTTCAAGTGAAGGGAACAGACCAGGCCCTGGTCCACTTATGGGGTACATTCTCTCGAAGCTCAGTCATCAGATTCTTGAAGATGCAAGATTATTATCAGTTTTTATTCCACAAGAAGAAATTTGGTTATCAGGTCAGTGTATCTTTTTTTAACACATTGGCCAACAGAATACATATAGAAATATCAAAGTGGTGGTGGTGGTTTTGCCAAGCTCTCTCAAAAATCTAGTTCCTCCTGCACATGGACACGTAACTATCCCTCCTATAAAATACTACAAAACATTTCTTGAAGAATCACTATGAAACTACTTGCCCTTTAAGGAAAGTCAGGCTAACTTCATATTCCAAAAGGAACCCCAACCATAGGCAGGAACTTCACTTTTCCCTCGAGTGACCTGACATTTCCATATCTGAAAAGCAGGAGAGACCTTTTGAAGGAACGGTGACTGTACCAGAAATATTTGTTTTTTCAAGAAAATAAGACTCAGTACAGAACATAGTATGTTCTGTGGATCTGGTAACAAATAATCACGTCCTGAAGAGACTCCAATAGAATGGACCCAAGATTGTGAAGGGCAGGTGGACTTTTGCAATGATGGTTCTCTTTGTTGGCCTATCTCCTGTTGCTTTGATAATGTAGGAAAATTAATTGTAGAAGCTGTCAAGAAGCTAACCCTTAGCTTGCTTTGTAATACGTGATATCTCAATATAAAGGTTGTTCCATTTTTCCTTGGCTGGAGGGAGTTCTGGCTAAAGGTAACCTGTTTCCAAGAGACAACAGGAGAGGCCAGACTAGTCGAGTTTAGAGAAGGAAGTAGCAAGTGGAAGTAGCAGGTATTGGGAGGGACTTTGGGTAGTTCTTGCCTGGTTTCATCTGAGTGGGAAAAAAAAATCACTTCCACATACATGAGAGAGAGTCTCACTGTTGAGTGGTTTGAAGATGCTGGCTGGAGATTTCCTTTTGTCTCCTGATGTCGTTTGGTGGCTGATGAAATTCTTCCTGGATTCTCTCTCTCTCAGCAGCTTCGTGCTCTCTGCACTTAATCCCATGGGGTTAAAGAGCCAGGAGGGGAGAGGCCACAGGGATAGCAAGAGAAGAGCACAGACAAAGGAGATAAGCAAAGAAATAGAAATGCAAAGAAGAGAAACTTCAAAGGGGGTGGGGGCGTGAGGGGGAGAGTTGAGAGAGAGTGACAGAAAGAAAACTGACTGAACTCATGTGAACGTGGAAGCTTTTTCTGATCAGATTGTCTGCAGTATTAACCAAAAACAAGGGCGGCAAGACAGAGACACTGGGCCACTTCTGTTCCAGGGGACGAGCTGCACAGTCTAATATTTTTTCTCTCCGTTTTGAACAAATGATCTCTTGTCATGAAATCTATGGTATAAAGCAATCCCTTATAAATGGCAGCATTGCTCCTGTAGCGATGGTGGGAGTTGACTCTATTGCTTAGGAAGAGATATGGCTCCCCTATCATTGTGTTTAAGGCAGTTTTCAGAGCACTGGCATTCTGGTCTGCTCTGTTTTCAGAGGGATTCCATTTGCCAGTCATCTCACACTCAACCAACCATCCTGTGTGTTTCACTTCTTCTTCAGGTGAAATACCACCACATTGGTGAGCACCAAAATGGTCAGAGTGCAAAGAGTTGTGATGGATACTTCACTAGAGTGAATAAGGGGAGAAGGGTTGACCTGGTCCTGTTATTGCTGAGAAGTTACCCTGGTCTCACCTTGTATGGAACCAGGATGTTTCACAGTGCCTCCTTCAAGTGCCTGGGAAAGCACTTTCATTTATTTTTGAGCTAAATTCAGGAGATTTTGCTCAACATTGACATCAATGCTTCATGGCTTTTAAGACACTCTATTGCTAAAGATATTTAGCAGCAGTAACTTATGGGCAGAGTTATTGCTGTCATGTCAACTTGTGGTACAAAACTCAGATGATCAGCCCTTCTTGCATTGTTGAAATTTATGAAAAAATAAATAAACATGAGACATTGGCCACGTTAAGGAGTCGGGGAAACCCCTGAGGAATGTCTGTGGATGTTTTCAAATACTAACCTGAGGATCGCCCTGGGATTTGGGTATTTTTTTTTTAAGTAATCTTTTTTTTTTTATTTCCAGAAGAGGGAAGTAATATTTCTTCTCAAAATAAAACCTTGACAAGATATAAACCTGGAAAATAGCACAGTCATGGAAAACACAACCCACAATCTAAAAATAGCCTAGGCAAACTCATTTTTTGTTTGGGATACCATGTAGAGGCAGCCCCACTCTTTTTCAGAGAAGGGTTCCCATCAGATATGGACACACTAACCCTGCCTCCCTAAGCTGCCAATCTCTTCTCAGTTGTGACACATAATTTGCAAACGACAAATGAGGGTCTCCTTTCTAAAACAGGAATGTCGGTGTCCCCTAGAATCTGGGTCACACCTCCTTTAGTTCTTCCTCCCACATAGCCACACTACCCTAGTCTCTCCTACCCACTCACTACCGAGAAAAGACCCTCAGCTGTTATGCCTACCTTCCTTCTAAAGGCCAAACCATTCAGTACCTGGAAACTGTCACCCTCTCCCACCCCGCACTGTACATAAGCATCACATATGTTCTTTCTACAAATTGGTTTACAGGTGCCATTTAATCAGTTCAGATTTGGAAGCTACATCTTCAAGGGTCCAAGAGAACTCACTCCCTCCCCATATTCCACCCTTTACACATTTTCTTATAAGACATACAGCTTAATCAATTAACAAACTAAATAGCTTATATACTGGCAATATATTACAGATGGGTTTATGTCAGAGTAATAGATCACATGAAATGGACCATGTGGTACCCCAGTGCGTGATGTCTTGGGAGAGCCCTGAGGACACTGACAGTAGCATCTCTAAGTAAGTGGTGCTGTATGAATACAGACACATGCGGATCTGTATCTACATCCATCTGACTAGGCCAATAGGAGCAGGTAGATGCAAGATAGAGACACACATGCTGGATGGGGCCACTGCACACCTTGTCATGCCATTTGAAAGGGCAGTTACAGGTCACTGGTTCTGCAGCCATTAAAATTACACTTTACGGAGAAGGCTTCTCTAATTGTGTTTGATTTGCTTTCCATAGTAAAAGCATCATTGGAAGAATACCAAAGCAAGAGCAACTAGGAGTTAAATATACATTTGGCTTAGCTGCAATACAGAACTCTGCAGAAGAAGCAGGCTGAAAGATGTGTTTCAATTTTAGGCTTGGATTCTCTCCCTTGCCACATTCTTGTCATTGCGTGTCTGCGTTTGCGTGTGTGCGTGAGTGTCTGCGTGTGTGTTCCATCACATCATCTCCTGAAGAACGCTGGGTTTCGCAGGCAGGCGGCTAGTCACCTGCAACAACCCAGGGGTCCTGCCGAGGCTTCCAGGCTGCTGTCAGTGTCAGATGCCAGGGTCTGGTCGGTGGACATGGAGGAGATGTCGTTGACGGATGAGGAAGGAGGGAGACTCTCACTGCTGTTCACGGCTGCACCTGTGCTAAGAAAACGAAGACCAACATGACTAAACCTGGAACTAGACTCAGCTGGATATCACTCAGGATACAAGTGTGTGCACATACGATAAGGCAGTGGTCCCCAACCTTTCTGGCACAAGGGACCAGTTTCATGGAAGACAATTTTCCCACAGAGTGGTAAGGGGGGGTGGTTTGGGGATGATTCAAGTGCCTTATCTTTACTGTGTGTTTTATTTCTACTGTTATTATATCAGCTCCACCTCAGATCATCAGGCGTTATTAGATCCTGAAGGGTGGGGACCCTAGATAGGGGATGTCTGCCCCATCATTCTTTCGACAAGTCCTCATAGAATCACTAATCCAGAGCACTACATTAGATGGTGAACGTGAGGGTAATAACACAGTGTCCCTGATCACAAGTTATTCAAGGGTTAATGCAGTAATTCAAAATTGAGACAGGAGTACGTCAAGGCTGTATATTGTCACCCTGCTTATTTAACTTATAATGTGTGGAGTACATCATGAGGAATGCTGGGCTGGATGAAGCACAAGTTGGAATCAGTGTTGCTGGGAAAAATATCAGTAACCTCAGATATGCAGATGACACCACCCTTATGGCAGAAAGCGAACAGAAACTAAAGAGCCTCCTGATGAAGGTGAAAGAGGAGAGTGAACAAGTTGACTTAAAACTCAACATTCAAAAAATGAAGATCATGGCATCTGGTCCTATCATTTCATGGCAAATAGATGGGGAAAGAATGGAAACAGTGATAGAATTTATTTTTTGGGTCCCAAAGTCACTGAAGATTGTGACTGCAGCATGAAAATAAAAGACACTTGCCCCTTGGAAGAAAAACTATGGCCAACCTAGACAGCATATTAAAATGTAGAGACATTACTTTGTCCACAGAGGTCTGTCTAGTCAAAGTTATGGTTTTTCCAGTAGTCATGTATGATGGTAAAAGTTGGACTATAAAGAAGGCTAAGCACCGAATTATTGATGCTTTTGAACTGTGGTGCTGGAGAAGACTCTTGAGAGTCCCTTGGACTGTAAGATCAAACCAGTCAATCCTAAAGGAAATCAACCCTGAATATTCATTGGAAGGACTGATGCTGAAGCTGAAGCTCCGATACTTTGGCCACCTGATGGGAAGAACTGACTCATCAGAAAAGACCCTGATGCTGGGAAAGATTGAGGGCAGGAGGAGAAGGGGATGACAGAGTATGCAATGGTTGGACGGCATCACGGATATGAGCTCGAGCAAGCTCTGGGAGATCATGAAGGACAGGGAAGCCTGGCATGCTGCAGTCCATGGTGTTGCAAAGAGTGGGACAGACTGAGTGACTAAATAACAACAATGCAGTAACTGTCGAATTCTGCTCTACCCTAGAAATCACCTGTAATGCTTCTAAAAGAAAACAAAAAACTCCACTAAACACTCCATTCACCCTTTGCACCTCCCATATTGTAATGCATCTGGCCTTGGGTAAAGTCAAGGCATTTGCATTTTTCAAAAGCTCCCCAGAGACTGATGTTAAAGGCTGAAGACCACTGTTCTATGAAGAGGGCAAATAAGTGAACACCTTTAAAGTAATCACCTGAACCTGGATGTTTTCAATTCAGGGAGGTGGTTTTTTTTTTTTTTTTTTTTTTCCCCCGCATAAGGCAGCAGGCTGGATTTTAGTTACTGACCAGGGATCAAACCCACACTCCATGAACTGGAATCACAGAGTCTTAACCACTAGACTGGCAGGGAAGTCCCACAGGCAACTTTTAAAATAAACACATATAAGCCCCTTATCCCAGAAATATAGGCTGACGTAGTTGCCAGAGATCAGAATTACTTTGAGGCTACAGTTATAAGAAAGGAAGATATATGAAGTAAATATTATTACACCATCATTAATTTGACATCAAACTTAAAATCCAATCAGAAAAGCCAGGTAGGACTGTGGATGAAAGTTACCATAGACCAAAAAAAGAACAGAAGTCAGAACCACAGTCAGCCTCTTGAGTGTATGTTTACTCTTCATCAGGCTTGCTTACCTGGGAATCTCCAAATAAGAACTCTGAATTATTAACTACAAAATTTTTTTAATTGATCTGCTATGTAGGAATAGAAAGATTTTGAAACTCTGAGGAGAAACTTGCTCATGGTAATCACTCAATAAATACTTATGAGCTACAGTTGTTTTAAGAACCACACAGGGGAGATTGTAAAACTGAATTAAACCAGAGCACCCTGGAAAGCCCAATCACTTTTTCTCTTTATAGATCCTTTATATTCAAGCAATACGGGTGGTAAAATGTATGTTTTGTGAAATAGTTCACTATTAAAAATATATGAAGTATAAGCATCTAATAAAGTGAGACATATTTGGTGAAAATCATATATCCCTGTGAATAAGTCACAGTAGTATTATCAAATACATCTAATAAGTTAGGGAAAAAAATCTAATGAAGTGGAGAACTTAATACAATCTCCTTGTTCCTGGAGTAGGTAGGTGATTAAAATGTGATAGTAACTGGAGAGGATACACACACACTTAAACTAAGACAAATTATATGAATCCTTTTTAAATTGTTCTTTGTTAATTATAACCATATTTGTGCAACTTATATAAAAAATAGAGGAAAAAAAGACAGCAATATGCAATGATCCTCAAATTAATGATAAGAACTATTAAACTTTTGATATATTACTTTCTAGTGTTTTTGCTAGGAAGTCTAAGTATAATCATTTCATATATATCCTTTTGTATTCTGTATTTTCTTATCCAAAAAACCTATGCAATATTTCATGTTCTTTAAACTCTTAAAAGTATCAGTACCCCCCCAATCTTAAATGTCTCTAGATTTTTAAATCTGTCTTATTAACGTCTTCTTGTAAATAATTTTACTCTTATTATCATAAAAATATATAATGTAAAGTTCAGTTCAGTCCAGCTCAGCCACTCAGTCACGTCCAACTCTTTGAGACCCCATGGACTGCAACACGCCAGGCCTCCCTGTCCATCACCAACTCTCAGAGCTTGCTCAAACTCATGTTCATCGAGTCGGTGATGCCATCCAACCATCTCATCCTCTGTCATCCCCTTCTCCTCCTGCCTTCAATTTTGCCCGGCATCAGGGTCTTTTCAATGAATCAATACTTTGCCTCGGGTGGCGATACTTTGGCCACCTGATGTGTATTTATTTAGTTGCTCAGTAAGCACACAAGTAATGTAAAGTTATCTGGCTTCAATTCATTCCAGCTATATTTGATTATATCCTTTACAGATATGGTGCAGAGCTAGTTCATTTCCTCTCGTGACATATACTAGTAGATTTCATAGGCCGACAGACAACCCTTGATTAAACAGCCCAACTGCCCAGTGCTGTTTTTTCCCTTTGATTTTAGATTCCATTATACCAACATCCTCATATTCTTTCATCAGCTTTGGTCTCTAATAATTGAGCATTACCATGATGGGCTTCTCAGAAACATCTTCAATTTTTCCACATCATTATTAAAGGGTAGAGATTAAAACTAGATGCAGGATTTTAATAAAGGCTTGATTAAATTATGGGCCGACAGAGTGAGATTACTGTCTATTCATCTCCTGAATGATATATTCGTATACTACAGATGGTTTTCAAATCACGGTACTAGAGTTTAGATTTAGTTTTAATTTGAAATATAAAATATTGCCCATATACCTTTTGTAACAGCTTCACTGAGACATAATTCACAAAGCTAGTTTGTATAATTCAATTTTTTTTAGGATATTCACAAAGTTGTGCAATCATTACAACAATCAGTTTTGTAGAGTTTTTATCACCACAAAAGAAAATCCTATAATCTATTTCTTACCACCCAGCCCTAGGCCATGACTAAGTTACTTTCTGTCTCTATAAAATTGTCTGTTCTGAATATATCAGATAAATGGAATTATACAATACATGTCTTTTTGGGACTAGTTTCTTTCACATAGCTTAATATTTTCAAAAGATTCATTTGTATCAATGCTTCATTTCTTTTTATGACAATAATATTCTACTGTATGAATATATCACTTTTGTTTATCTATTTATTAGATAATATCATATGATATTTGTCTTTCTCTGTCTGACTTACTCCACTTAGTATGATAATCTCCAGGTCCATCCAGGTTGCTGCAAATGGCGTTATTTCATTCTTTTTAGTGGCTGAGTAACATTCTATTGTATATGTGTACCAAATCTTCTTAATGCATCCATCTGTAGATGGATCTTTATGTTGCTTCCTGTCTTGGCTATCGTAAATAGTGCTGCAATGAACATTGGCATGCATGTATCCTTTCGAACCATGTTTTTCTCTAGATATATGCCCAGGATTCGGATTGCTAGATCTTATGGTAGTTGTATTTTTAGTTTTTAAGGAGCCTCCATACTGTTCTCCATAGTAGTTGTACCAATTTATATTCCCACCAACAGTGTTGGAAGGTTCCGTTTAACCCATAACCTCACCAGCCCTTATTGTTTGTAGGTTTTTTTACGATGGCCACTCTGACTGGTGTGAGGCGATATCTCACTGTAGTTTTGATTTTCATTTCTCAGAATCTTTATCAACCGTATTTCTAGGGTTCCATAAGTTGCTGTTCCTGACTCTGTATAGCACAAATGCATTAGAAAGAGGCTCTCTCTTCTAACAGCCCCTCTATGAAATCCCCATTGCATTCTCATGTTGTATGGAAAGAGCTTCTCTATATAGTGCATTCTCATGTTGTATGGAAAGAGTCTCTCTATATAGTGCTATGGGGGACGGGAATCTTGTGTCCTGTCTAGTGGCGTGCTGCCGTGGATTTAGTGCCTTTTGAGAGTCAATTATTAGCATTTCTTTCCAATTTTGCCTTCATCGATGACATATCAGTAGCTTGAAATTGATCACAGTAAGACTATTTACACAATAGAAATTAGTAATTGCTGCAATCAGTCCATCTTTTCTAAAGAGATAGTTGCATGCATGCATGCTCATTTGCTCAGTCATGTTTAACTCTTTGC